ATTCTAGAGTTTATATATTATCCTTCTGTGGTCTTTGATGGAGTTGAAGACAGATAGTTATGTTATAGTTTTCTTCAGTTATTATAAAAGATAAGTTACCCTTCCTTTTATTTAAACAGAAAAGAGGAGATAATGGGGGTAGTGCTTCTGTGTATGTGTTTGTCTTATTAGGAGATTATTGAAGTACTGTTTGGCCAATGAGGCAGCAAGTCAGGCGGGACTAGGAGTCAAGGAAGATTCTGGGAAATGTAGTAAAGAAGTGGTGATCCAGGCAGGAAATTACACAGTAGGGAGACTTAGCAAGGGCAAGAAGGAATCCCCCTTTTCTCTTCCTCCTGGTCTCTGCTCTGGAGTTGCCATGTGATCCAACAGCAAGAGAGGGCACCAGGGGAAGGCATCCTCTATAAGATAAGTCTTATAAATATATAGATTTATGATAATTAAGACTGAGCTAGCAGATGAGAAATCCTAGTCATTGGCCAAGCAGCATTTGTACCTAATATAAGTCTCTGTGTGTTACTTGGGACCTCAATGTGGAACTTGGGCAGCCTAGCAGAAAGTGCCCACGTGGCAGCAGGACTCAGGCGGCTTGGAGTAAAGACTTATTGTTACACATGCCTACCCAGGTACCGCCATGCTCCCTGCCGTGATGATAATGGACTAACTCTCTGAAACTGTAAGCAAGCTCCCAATTAAAATGCTTTCTTCTGTAAGAGTTGCCTTAATCATGGTGTCTCTTCACAGCAACAGAACAGGGACTAAAATACCTACACTTAGAGAATATTAACTCTGACTATATAATAACTAATTTAATTCATTTAACTAATTATTTTTTTTCCTTTTGTTACATGGTAGTAAACTGGAGTTTTCCTTTGCCTCGGGGATGGTGATCAGGGTCCCAAACTTTAATCACAGAAACATTCTATGTTTCCCTATATAGTGCAGGCTGACCTGGAGCTCTCTTGTGTAGCCAAGACTGGCTTTAAGCTTGAAGTCCTATACCTCTCAAGTGAGCCGCCACTACACTCAATTACTTTTGTTTTCTTCCAAAAATAAAATATTTTGGGAGGGGGCTCAGGGTGTCGCCAAATAACTCTGGCTGGCCTGAAACTTGCTATGAAGACCAGACTCTCCTTGAACTCACTGAGATCCACTTGTGATTAAAGAATGAGCCTTTAGTGATGATCATTACTATTGGTGAATAAAAAATAAAGAGTATTTACTTGACATTGTCACTAGAGGGTGCTAGAGCTGAAGGAAGAAACAGGCTAAAGAAAATCAAGCTCATCTGTTTTGTCCTAAAAAAAAGGGGTTATATTTTTCTTTATGTAAAAACCTTAAAATGCTCTTAGTAATTGTATATCCATTTGAATTTAACAGTATTTTTGAGTTAAAAAGAAATAAACCAGACACACCAGCTGTCACACTTTTAACCCTATGAAGAAATGCCTGAAGAATGCTACAGCTTCCAGGCATCTATCCCACAGCGGGAGGCAGGTGCTAGCCAGGCTGGGCTCTTTGATCACACCAGTGACTCTGGAATCTGCCCCTTCTTGGGATTCCTCTTCAGAGCACAAAGAGCAAAGAACAGCACGTTTGCTGGATACATGCTTTAGACCAATCGGGTTTCATTTGGCTCAGTTCAGCTATTATGCTATACAGTGTTTAACTTGTTGAGAGAAATTGAAATTTGTGGTTACAAGTATATGGCCACCCACTGTCACCACCCTGCTGAGAGGCTCAGGATGCAAAGGGAGCTGAGGACAGCACTAAGCCCACAGGATCTTCTGCTCCAGGAACAATAAGCTCTTTGTTTCTGAGATGGTGCTTCATGTTCTCTGCCAGTGTCTATGAAGCTATGGCTAACATTTTAGCCTGCAGTTGGGTAAAATCAGTTCTTGACCTTACATGATTCCCTGGCTCTGTGACAGTCTGGGGACCTTTTCTGAAATCCCAGGAGAGAACCGACTTCTCCTATCAGTAAAGAAATCCTCATTAAGGGGGCTGGAGAGATGGTTCAGAGATTACAACTGTTAAGAGGTCCTAAATTCAATTCCCAGCAAGCTAATGGTGGCTCACAACCATCTATAATGAGATCTGGTGCCCTCTTCTGGACTGCAGGGATACATGCAGACAGAACACTATACTAAATAAATCTTTTAAAAAAAAATCATCATTACATTTTTACCTACTTATGGTGGTGGTAGGGTACATACATGACACACCATGACACACCTGTGGAAGTCAGAGACCAAGCTGAAAGAGGTGCTTTTCTCCTTCTACTATGCTAAGTCCTGAACACTGAATTAGGGTTTTCAATACTGGCAGCAAGCATCTTTACCCACTTCTCAGTAGCCCCTTTAGTGATCAGGTAAACACGTAACACCCTATGTTAATCTCATTTCAGCTTCAATCCTAGTGTGGCTTCTATTTTCTACACTGAAACATTAATGACAGCCACCTCTACTATACTATGACAGACTTTAAAAGGCCATTGTTTAGGAAGGCTCACAATGGAGAAATGTTACTTATCACCATTTGGAAAAGAACACTTTTGTTTAACTGAGGTCGTAAAAGTTCATCAGTATCTAAAGGCTATAAAAGGCTCCTTCTATGAAATGTAACCTAATAACCACTGATGAGGAATCTCACTAGCTCACTAGTGACTCATATGAACCTGCTACCCACTCCTAATTCTCTACTAAAAGTTCTTCACACTTGACAGGCAGCTGTAATGCTAAATAAAGAAAACACTGAGCTGAGCAAATGCTGCCTAAGCATGCGTCTGCTCTTCACGGTACCTCAGCAGTGGTGAGGAAGACCTTGTCAGTGATGTGTCTCAGTCCACAGGCCACCACCCCAAGAGCAACTCCAGGGAACACATAGGAGTTGTTGCCTTGGCCAGGGTAGAGTGTCTGTCCATCTGGAAGAGTGACTGGATCAAAAGGACTGCCGCTGGCAAAGATCGCACGCCCCTGCAACATAGACAGTGCGGATGATAAACAGAACAAATGTACTGCAACAGAGCCATCCAGAGGCCGGCTGAGAAGTATCGGTGCTTAACTCCCTGTGGGCCCCGGGCTCATCACTGTTGTCTGTGTGAATCTGTCCAGGGGTGGGCAAAGCAGAGGATTCTCTAAGGCTACCACTCTGTTCTCTGCAGTGTTCCAACCACAGGCCCGACAACCACATTATACAGGCTTCGAACTACAGACTTCTGAAGATAAAATCAACAGATTCTTAGAGTATTGAAAATGGTATGTTAGGTTAGAACTTAATGGGCAGCCTCAAGGTAACTTCCAGTGTTTTACAATACAGAGCATTCTGAGAGATCTTGAGAGAGAGCTGAGGTCATCTATTGCTGACCCACTGAGAGTTTAAACCACAATGTAAAATTGAGCTAACGCTACGTATGTGTATGGCAGGAGCCTCTACACTAACAAGAGCTGTTGAGATATACAGAGACAAAGTAATTAACTACACACTTGCTTATCAAGGGCCTCCTATGTGCAAGGTAATGTACTATAATTCTGCTCAAAATGTTGTACTTTCTTTCCTTGAGGACTTAAAGCTATTGAAAAATGTAAGGAAAACTCAATCTGCACATGAGATAAAGACTAAAATTACTCAGGGGAGTGATGCCATCCTAGATAAGAGAGAGAAACCATGGAGTGGCTCCTTGTTAAAAACATGATTTTTTTTTTTTCTGAATGATGAGCATTTGACAATTTGACATATTACTTACAAAGTAGAGCCTACAGGCTCTGGCTTGTATACACAGCATCACAACTCTGTGCTGTGTTTACACTCTCTACTCTATTTCATATTTCCAAAATAAAGGATTTAGATACATAAAACTAACTTCATTTTTGTTATAATGATATTCTCAAGTCTTTGAGGACAGCAGAAGGCTTTCTGCCAACTTATCAGTCAAGTATATGCTAGTACAAACACAGTGTAAAATTAACTTTTTATTTTTACAACAGTGAAGTTGTGAGCACTAAGGATTCCATGCCAGTCAGGCTGGGTATCAGCACAGCTGCCCAGATCCTCCACCCATGGCATCAAAATCCAAACCCAAAATTGAGCTAGGCAAAAACTAAACTGTGGTTTCATTTTGTATGCTTCAGTGCTTTGGAACAGCAAGTTAAAGATAGCTTCAGAACTATCCAAGGCTAAGTTCTTTCCCTTCCATTTTTTATATTTAAGTCTTAACTTTCCAAATCACTCAAAAAAGTTATCAGTAAAACATACAACGTTGGTTGATTTATTGAAGATGAAAAGAATGATTCAACCCTGAGGGAGAGGAGGCAGTCACACCTTTGGTGTGTTCATGCATCTTTCAGTTTAGATGGAGTAGGTCTTATGCCAAACGTACAAGATCAACACCTTGGGCATCCTAGGCTTCTTAAAATTAACCACCATTTGACTGCTCACCTTGGTCACTTTGTAGCACTGTTCTGCAGAACACTCTGCTTTGCTGGTTGGATTACTCAAAGCAAAAATGATGGGCCGTTCGTTGAAGGCAGCCATATCTTTGAGAATTTGTTCTGTGAAAGCACCACCAATTGCAGCAACTCCTAAAACACAAACAAGAAATGGGGGAGTAGGACTGTCATTGGTTAGTTCATCCTAAAGGCTCAGGCCCCCAAACAATGATATGGTAGCTCCTTTCTAACAGGCCCTAAACAAAGTACAGAATGTTCACACTCAAGTCTAGTGGTGAAACAATGTTGCTCAAGGCCAACCATCTTTAGGGGTACATCAAGTGCCTTTATAAATCACAGGTATGATATAAGACTCACAATACAGAGTTCCTCGTCAGTCATTAGGAGCTCTGGCTACAAGCATTTGTATCAGGAAATTAAGCCATTAATGTATTAAATCTACTACATTCTCTCTTGGCAATCTTGAGTAGACTATGGTAACTGTATCTTCATAGGCAATGTTAACAATCATCTCATCCTACTGTGAAACTGAAATAACTACTGCTGAAAGCAGAATAAAACAACTAACATAATGAAAAGTAGTAAGATTACTGTAGAATGCACTGTGTAAAACACACCCAAGTTTGGTACAGTTCTTCAGGATACTGGATCAGAATCCACAATACTAGCAACTATCGCAAATGCACTTCTAAGAACAGACTATGACTGAAAGCAGACAGACACACATGGGAATAGGAACAAACTGTAGGAACTTCCTTCAAGATTTTAAGCACAGGATCTGGACATATTAAGCATTTCTTCTATGGATTTTTAAAACAAGGTCTCATAAAGCTCAGGCTGAGCTCCTGTCCTGTCCTCCTGTCTCCACTTCCCAAAGCTGGGATGGGATGGTAGGTGTGAACAACATGGCCAGCTGCACACTACACATCACACTGTGCACACACAGCGCTTGAGTATCTGAGGAAGAATGCAATGATAGGTGAAGTGCAAGTCCTGTCTTCTGGGAAGACTTGTTCAGAGCTCCTGGATCTCAGTGTGACTGGTATACTGCAGGCATGTTTCCTCATAACTAGTTTACTGCAGGCATGGTTCCTCTTAACTAGTATACTGCAGGCATGGTTCCTCTTAACTAGTATACCACAGGCATGGTTCCTCACGGCAAGACGGCAAGACTGCCCTGTGCACCACAAGACTTTTTTAACCAACATCACCGACCTCTACCCACTGGATGTCAGTGGCCTTTCCTTTCTTTTCTTCCTCCACATCCTCCACATGCCTTTCACATTGATGACAACTAAAAACCATCTCTCGGCATAGACCAGTGTTCTGGGGGTGTGTTTCCAGAACGTTCTAGAAGGACTTTCTACCTGCAGCAATGAAGCCTTGAACAGGGCTGACTGTGGCAGATGTTAGCAAGCTGACATAGTACAAAGGCTCAAAGCAGAAATTCTAGGAAGGCAGAGTTAAATTACGTCTCAGTGCCTGTGAGGACCTCACAACTTAAGTGACTCCATTTCCTTACTGGATTCTAAAAGTTAGAGTTTTTAAAAAGCAAAACAATGCTAAATAGGCCAAATTAGAGGAAAAGGGGAAAAAAACCCATTTACCTATGAGGGCAGTTGGTTTTATCTTTTGAACAATGGCTTCCAGGTTCTTCATTTCTTCGTGTTCTTGGGCAAACACCTCCTTCTCTTCTGTGAGAGAAGCACGTCCCTGAATAATGCAAATGAGAGGTAAAATTATTGCAAATGTGTGGATCAAAGGCATGTCCAGTATTCCACACTGCTGCTACTTACATTTCCCATCCTGTATCCTCCACATGGTATCTATTCTTGAAGCCCATTTCTAACGGTCACTGTATTACCTCACTTGTCCTTTCAACAAATATTTATATGGCAGACAGTGTTCCAGACAATGGTGACGCAGCAGTGAGCAAAACAAATCCATCGAGAGCTTTGAGACATAAGCTAAGTATAGTCACTGCTATTTACACAGGAAGACACAGGTTCATCGACTTTAAGTGACCACAACTTAGACAGCCACTGTCTGGGACTGCCTTTCCATTACAGCACAGCACTACCCTGGAGGAGCAGCTCTCCAAATGCTGGATGCCAGACTGAATGTTAACTGTCAGGCCCAAAGCTGGTGCAATCTCCTTGCTTTAAAGTGTGTGTGTGTGTGTGTGTGTGTGTGTGTGTGTGTGTGTGTACATACATACATGCATGTGTAGTCACATGTATGAGTTCAGGTGCAGAGTGCATGGGGAGGTCAGACACAACCCTGGGTGCTGAGCTTCACTTTCTATCTTGTCCCTCTTCACCACTGTGTACTCCATAAACCAGCTAGCTGAGCTGCAAGCTCCTAGGAAATCTTCTGTTTCTACTTGGCATGTTACCATAGGAGTTGCTGGAATTACAGCCATGTACTTTATGTGGCTTTTGGGGTTTGAACTCAGGTCCTCGTGATTGTGTGGCAACCACTTACCCACTGAGCCATCTCTCCAGCCCAGATTTATTTGCTTTTAAAAGCAATATTGAGAATCTCAGAAAATCTAAAACATATGAACTCCTTTATACTTGTTTCCTTCTCTGTAAATAAGCAGAGCAGAACTTATGCTTTGCCAGGTCACTGGGGGTTAAAAAAATCATGGGAACATGGGAAGCACTTGGACCATTATCAGCTCTCATAAAAAAATCTGTGAAGAGGAAAGAAACTATTTCCAGCCCTTTATAATTTTTGGAACATTTTATCCTAGTCTGCTACAAATTGCTATTTGTATATCACTGCTTTGTATTGTAAATGTGACATTGGATTGGGTGGCTTCCCAAAAAGAGAGTGCACCATTGGTCACTGTTGTGTTCCAAGAAGTTTTTCCCATCCTTCCTGTAGTGTATCAATCTGCACTACATCCGAGACACCATGAAAACAAGCACCCTTCATTCATTTGCACTCAAGTCTGAAGCTTCCATTTTACACCCACTGCAGCAGAGAATACTAGCAATAGTAAGTTGGATATTTCGGCCCATATTTTTATTAGTCATGTTTTCTTGAAAAATTATTCTAATTTCTACTTTAATTGGGAAATGCCAAGTTGTTTACATGCGTTTTGTGATTAATCGTAAGTCCAAAAGAACTCAGTTGATAGAAACTTCTTTAGGTATTGGAGATTGAGTTCAAGGCTTCACACATGTGAGGAAATGGTTTGGATACCAAAAACTATAACTGTCAAATGATTCCAAATCTTTATTCCTCTTTCTTTATGACAAAGCAAGATAATTTTAGCAGCACTGTTGAGTTCTATCTCCAGCCCCCATAAATTAATTTTAAAAGGATTAACAGCAAGTATATGCACAGACTAGTTTCTTTTGTGTTTGTAACAAAAATTTTAATTGCTCTAATAGCATTAAAAACTATGATAATACTGAAAACTTTACAATTCTCACATAATTTGGGGTCCTAAGGGGCGAGCTTGTTGAGTGCTCTTATGCTTACTTCTGTTAGCATCACAGACAGGGATTTATTTCATTTGCATAATCCCATTACAAACCTTAGGCAGCACACTGGCATGGAAAGAATGAGCGAAGCTAATGATAAAGTTTTAGTCATCAAGAGGAAAAAAATAGGCATTTCGCATATCAAAGAATTTCCAATTTCTAATTGTTCCCAATTTTCTGTCCTCCCTGTGTCTGTGTTCTCTGCCAAGTAGCTCTGCAGGTCCATCCACAAAAGCAGACTATATAGGCCAGTTTTTTTTTTTTTTTGCTTACCATGGGGGTTACTGCTCAATGAACCTACCTCCAGTTTAAAAAATGCACTTAGTACACCTAACTGTGGAACAGCAGCATTTATCCCAGCCTGCATTAAATATGCACAGAATCTGAGCTCAATGTCCACCTTATAGCAAATGCAACATCAAACAACAGAGGGAAATGGAATCGTTACGAGTGCCATTCTGCATCTGAATGCTGAAAGATCCTAAATGGAACCATCAAATTGGGGCCTTCTGTTTCTTCCTTGCCCGTGTTTTTACACTGGAACATATGGCTTGCCCTGATCACAAAAATGTGGGCTGGAATGACAGTTCCCGCCTCAGTCTTGAGAACTGATGTATCTATCCACCTGTCCCCTTACACCACTGCCACTGCTTGGTCTGCCCCTGGGTCCATCCACATGGAGCAGTACGGGGCAGATGCAGACCCAACATGAAGGAAGCTTAGAGCCAGAGGGCAAACATCAACAGCATCGTCCACCTTGACCCAAAGGTGAATGAAAAGAAATCACTGCTGTGTGTCGTTGAGATGTGACTACTGAGAACACAGCATTCGGCCACAGCACCAGAGCAGCTCTAATACTAACTCTGTATATTGTCTTTTGTTAACCTAACGTTAGTCCTAATGACTGTAGGAGCTGATGGCTCCTCTCCTTGAGATGGTTTAATAAAATGAATGTTTGTGCAATCTCTCTGCCCCCTCAGTTCCTTTATTGGTAGTTGGCAAATATCATCTTGCCTTATTAGAAAGATAAAAGAAATTCTGGACATGGGAAAAAACAAAATTTGGAATCATTTGACAGTTTTTAATATCTAAACTATTTCTGAACAATTTCTGGAAGCGGTCTGAGCTAACATTCATGGTTAGTTTGAGTCTGACACAGTGAAATTTCCAGTAGAGGTACCAAATAAAATCCTGGCTTGGAAAGGCATATTTCCTGGGAATAGTAACTCTCAGCTGCAAGCATTCTAAACAAAACATGATACAATTTTGGCTTACTATTCTCCACAGAAATGCATACACTCAGTTGCAGTTGTAAAGGCAAGAACCAAGCCTATGCTTCCAAGGCCTGAAGTGCTCCAGGACTCCACATTGCTTCCAGCATGACCTCCTCTAGGTTCAAGGTCAAACACTAAGCTGTATCCACCACTTTCCTCAGCTCTCATTTTCTGTCCAGAGTTTCTGCAGCAAACAGTCACTAAATGGTGCACTCTCACTACAAACTCAAAGAAAATGAGGAATGAAGATGATGAAATGGCAGTCACATGGCTCTTCTAGAAACATGTGGTTGTTCGCAGTAATATGGCTTAGGTGGACACGGCACGCTTTAGAGCCTGGGAGACAAGCAGCAGATGTGTGCTAAGTAACAGGTAGCAACCACTGTATGGGCCAGCTCTCCTGTTTGTGGGTGAAACTGACTCAAGTCAGTGGCAGGGCAGACAGCACCCTTTCCTAACGCAAAGCTGCATCATGAAATCTGCTCCCCAAGGCTCAGCGGGAACCTGTATGTCAGGGATTTGTTCTTCAAGCTGACTCCACAGTTGAGGAAGCCTGTCTAACTGCACTACCTTCTCTAATAGAGGAAACACATTCCAATGAGGTCTAGCTATCCCAATGGAGTACAGTCTTGACAGATGCTGAGAAAATGGCTACCACTCAGAGAACAATGAACAAAGAACTGTCTGCCCATTGGCATTTTCATATGACTTTCCACCTGAAAAATGGAAATATTCAAATCTTTAGTAGAGAATCTAGATGTCAAATTTACATTATTGACTTATTACACATTTACTTATTTACTGTTGAACTAGCAATGGATCCCAGGGCCTTAACATGCTGGGCAAACGCTGCACCTCCAGCTGTAGCCCATACTGTTGCTACATTGTTTTATGTTCAAATATTGGAAACTTTCCCATGAGGGGGTAGAGAATTGCAACTGTCCATCAACAGTCATTCTCCCCCACCTTGTAGTTTTAGTGTTTATTTATCCCTAACTTCTAATTTTTATGATAACATTTCCATTTAATCTGTAACATGACTATCAGATAAAGGCTTCATTTACTAGTGTCTCTGCAGCCTGGAGTAGCATAACAACCAGGACAAATGGAAGGAGGGAAACCGTACTGAATTTTGAGTTGTGTCCTTTAAAAGCAGTGGGGCACAGAAGCCCAGTACCTTCTGGAGCCATCAGTGGCTGGCAGAGGCAGCTGTGGCATGTCCTGCTCCCAGCAACAGAAGGGAGTGCATCCCGAGTCTGTCTGCTGCTGTCTACACTGTCATCTCTGCCTGGGGGACTCCTGGTGCACAGTTTAATTCAGAGATAAGTTTCTTTATTTGGATATCTGAAGACAACATCAAGGAGACTCTGTCCTGACAAGCACTTATCTTCCAGGAGAGCCAGTAATAAGACATTTACAACCAAGAAAGTGTTGGGCCGAGCTTGACAGAGAATGCTTGCCCTCCAAGCACACAGGAGAGTAAGGTAAGATGCTAGCCTGGGCTACACAGCCATACCCTGGTGTGAACCAACAACAGGACTGTCTCTACACAATTTTTAAAGATTTTCAATAATGTAAATTCTCCCATGTTACTTTATATAATTCTTTATTCTCAAATTCCTTGTAATTTCTTTTTGGTGTTGTTGTTCAATATTGTATCATGACTTTAAATAGTTTTAGTATATGAGAACACATATTTAATAACATCTTCTCCTTTACAAGCTAGGAACCTTGTGATTTTAATCTGTTCTCATGGGCCAATGTTAATTCCCTATAGACAACAAGGAACTCTACTCTCATCATTCAGGTGACTTTATTCATCTTTTACCTCACGACTCAAAACTGTCCTCTGTCAAATCAAAACATAACCATGCAAATGTGAAAGTAAAACTAATATTTCTATCAGCAGCCTAGCTAGCTGACACACTCAAACTAGCATAATTTG